CTAATATGATGCTATGTTGCCTATACTTCTCTTGATCGATAAGAGGAGCTTTGGGAAGGTGATTGGCTGTTGTAGTTTGTTGTTAAGTTCTAAATCTTTAAAGAATAAAATGCTTTTAAGGCTGGCTTCTCTTTTTCAAGAAAATTACCAAATAAGGAAATTTTTTAGGAAAAAGGGGATCAGCGGAAAAAGTTTTATAAAAATAAAAATTCTATAAAGAAAAAGAAGATTAATTAAATAATAAAAAAAAAAAATGAAAAAAATTTTAATATTATATTAATAAAAGTATATTTAAAATTATTAAAAAATGAATCTATATACAAAACCTTAAAAGTTTTACAGTAATAAATTATAAATGATAATTTTTTAATAACTTTAAAAATTATTCGAATAAAAAAAAATGAAATAATATTTTCAATATTGTATCTAGAAAAAAGTTAACTTCAATAATAAATAAGCTAACATGTAAAAATCTTAAAAATATTTGTAAATGCTATTCAAATTTATTAAAAAAAAAAAAAAAAAGAAAAGAAAAAATTTAATTATAAAAGTAAATAATAATTAAATAAATTTATAAACAATACAGGTAATTAATTGGCTCGGCATACTGTATTTTTTACAGACACGAACCGATAATTTACGTCACGCAATACAGATATAATGCAAACGAGAAAATGATTTACATAATCATGTACTTTACGTATGTACGCACGTACGTCAATCGACTTTCTTTCTTTTTGCGAAAACTTAAAGTAGTAGACGAACTGCGAAAGGGTAAGTTAAAAGATTTAATTAATATTCGTATTTGTAGTTTCCTTGTGATAACTTAATTTCACCTTAAATACGCCTTTAGCAATTTAACAAATACGAATAATACAATACTCTCTAACAGGTCAACAATGACGGAAGCTCCGCCAAAAGATCCCGAATATGAATATGTCATCATGCTGTTAAACGCGAAAACGTCTAATCCTCGCGAAAAAAAATATTCATCGGATTTTTTCGAAGCCTCTATCTCCTACGTTCTTAAACATTTCAACGCAAATCACGCCAAGCATTTGCTATGCACTCCCGAGCTTACAGATATCGTTATCGAGATGATACCGCTATTTTTAATCGAGAACCCCGATGGTAAAATCGGATTATTTCGGGGCATTGTTGAATTTCAGATGAATCAATGTTTGAAATGTGTCCGAATTTATCACAAGAAAATAAGACGACTCATTCGCAGGTAAACTAACGCATATCATTACATCTTATGACTTTAAACAAAAATCGCGATATATATATAAATGCTATATTTATTTATACGTGTAGGTTGGAGGAGGTATACGACAAGGTATCAGTTGAATCGTTTCGTGATAAAATCGAGCTTTGTTGCATTGCGCGAATGCAGCATAGTCTGGCGAATATCAAGAAAATTTACCTCGGGTTAAATACAGCGTATCCTCAACAGTTTCTTGGCATTGAAAATAGAACGTTGGAGTTGAACAATATATCGTCGTTTTTCGAGGTTCTTTACCTGCCAAGATCGCTTCAACAAAAGAATTTGAATCAATTGTTTGTTGAGATATTGTCAACACTCATTAAAAGGAAGAATTGTTATCAACCAACCAACTGCTTCCTCCCAGGTGTATTCGTTGCTTCTTTGCATGAAAATCTCGAGGTACAGAAGTGGGCATGGTCAACACTTTTGAATATGAATATGAATATGACACTCAACTTGAGCGAATTTCTGGAAGGGGAATTTGATTCGGTGATTGTTAGCATCCTGTCATATTTTATTGAATTAAACTCATTTTCGAATAGGTTTTATACTCAATATCCCTTCACCAATAACGTCTTACTATCGTGGAAAGGAATCGGGATGATCTTATTTAAGATGGAAAAGGAAGTGATCATTGATTTCTTTATTAAAAGAAGGTCAAGCATCCTAACAGCGTTCACCAATTATCTACCCCATGCAATTGAACCATGCTTTGCGGAGATGATAAATTGTTTATCAATCATTTTGGAAAAAGTTGGTAGTGAATTTTGGCTACTGATTTCAAACCAAGATCGAGCATACAACTTCGTTCAACACCTGTTCGACACATTTTTCTCAATAAAAAAAACGACTCACATCTCATCCGTTTTATGTTCCTCGCTGAGTTTGGTTTTGAAGGTATTGCGTACCACCTATCTCGAACAAGAATCCATTACTGCTCCCCCGGAAGAACCCATATGGCTAACGATATTGAGAGAAGACACATCGAAAATAGATGACATATACTGTGGCTTAAATAGAATACCCGATTTGGACAATTTGTCCAAGCTGGATCATCAATTAAGGTGTGTCGTTTGGAGGAATCTCTTCAAATATGCGTCTGAAAGCATATCGACCTCTTCTGACAATAGTAAGACAATTCTACCATTCATGGAATGCTTTAACAAGATCGCTCTCATGGACAATAATTTGGATTTTAATCAAACTAGTAACCGTGATCCTTTAGTAAATACCTTTGTTGATTCTATCTCAAGGGTGAGGGAGTATATGAACAGATTTTTGGATGAGCTTCAAAAGGTTGATTCGAAAAGATTGACAACACTTCTGCCTGTTAATGGTGTTTCCACTTCAATCATTCATCTTTTATCATCGCCAGATTCAAGACTTATGACATCGGGCTTAATGATTCTAAAAAAGTCATACATTAATGACTCCTATAACGAATTAATTAGAGAGAATACAAAACAGGTCATTCAAGGTCTCATGGAAATA